GTGTATATATATATATATATACACACTGTATATAAAAGAATTTCCACACTTTTTCACCCATTTTATACACTTATTTATGTCAATGCTTCCTATTTTTTTAACATAACTTCAGACCTACTTTCATCCTTTGTTCAGCTTTGTCAAAGCCCATGAGCATGTTGATGATGTCAAAGCCAGACGCCGACTTATTCTTATGGTGAACCCCTCGAAAAAGTGCACACAGAGTCTGCAGAAAAGGACAGAAAGCACAGACGTTGTTAAAGGGGAAGGATGTAATGGTGATCATAATAAAACTCAAATATTACTGTAACTGATGCCTCTTTTTGTGTGTGTGTGTGTGTTGCAGATCTGCTTTAGCACTGTCATTACAAGAGTTTCAGAACGATAAAGGAATCAGGAATCAGACAGTATCATTATTGTCACCTCAACCTGCTTTAAATTTAGCAGCTGCTGATTCTACGAGGAATACTCCCACCTGCAGGGCGTTGACTACTTTGATCTGATGCTCCTCTCCGAGAGCCTGGACGCAGTGGTGAAACAGAGAGTTGATGTTGTCCTGAACACGCTGCACTTCTTCCCCATCTACGCTCTCCAACTTAGACTCCAGGTACTCTAAGTTCACCTGAAAAGGAGTGATAAAAAAGCAAAACCTACATTAGGATTTATCCTGTTAACAAAGCCACTAAACGATCAGGGCAAATTTTACCACCAGTCAGACAATTCGGTCAATCTGTTCAACATTTGTTTATATGCTATTTGAGTGAATCAGTACTTCCTCAATTAGACTGCAAGCAGTAAAAAAGTGGCAAACAACCATTTCCTCACTGCCTTTCATAACTACTCCTTTTGTTGACTCTGTTTATTCTTTAAACTAATAACTTTATTACTGCTGCTGCTAATGTAAACTTTAAGTACAACTTCTTTTTATATTTTGATGCATCTTTCCTGTACCTTCATAAGAAACAACTCGTCCCAAAAGCGAGGGTTATTTTTGGCTGGGTCTTCTTTCTAAATCAAAAACAGGAAGGACATCATTATTAAGACTTTTCCATTAAGGTATTTACCAAAAACTKTCACGTTAGAGTTCTTCCACTGAGATACTCACAGCAAAAATCTCATCGTACATCAGAACCACCTTTTCTTTCAGAGGCTTTTTAGAGGACGACGTCCTCCTAAGCAAGCCTGCCTTTTTCTCCACTTGAGACATGATTAAGTCTGTTCAGAGTCAGACAGAGAGAACAATGCAGTGAGATGGAAGCACAGCATGCAGAAACAAAAGACATGCATTAATGAGCCAAAACAATAAAATCAACTGGGTGTGCAGGTCAACCTTTGCTGCTAATCAACAGGAAACATCTGGAGGTGTCATGATGTCTGGTGAGATGATCATTATCATGTGCAAGTGCTGGCTTTCTTAGAGAACCTTTACTATTTGGTCTTTTACAATGCACTTAAAATGTTTGAGATTAATTTTATTGTGATTTATACCAATATAAATAAATAAAATTTAATATAGACTCAAATAAGTCAAAGAGAACACTTAATTTTACTAAACACACATTACTGTATGCCTTCAGCAGCACAAGATCTGTCAGTGAGTATTAAAGAATTTACAAATACTATTTTACTTATTTGCATTTCTGATGTGCAGAAAAGCACAGCTGAGGTTGTTAACGCTACATTTTTGAAGAAAAAAATAAATAACAAACGAGTGTGACCTGTAGGTGGTTATATGTTCGCAGGGCAAAATATTACAGACAAATCAATAGTTGAACCACAGACATTGTGGTTAATTCCTACCTGATGTTGACAGTATAAATATTGAATGTAGCTACGTAGCRTTAGCTGCAATCGATGTCAAATTAACTGGTTACATTTTTAAAACGACAGACAACAASTTGGTTGCCAACAGGTATCATTATCCAAGGGAAATACTATGAGAAATCACTTTTTAGGCGTTTMTTTTATGTTAAATTCTGCTGGGAAAATGTTTATCACGACAGCAGATTACCCTCCCTAGCTACTAGCTAGCTTGTGTCTTAACAAATAGTAATGTTAGCACTGATGTAGCTATCTGCCAAAWGCCTTGTCGCAACTACTGACAAAATGACGGTGTTGTGTGGTTTAAAAAGGCACATGTCACATATTCTCACCTCACTTAATCCATTAATGTTTATGATGTAGATGCGCTTAATGAATCCTTGTAGTCCTTGCTAGCATACTGCCGTCGTTAGCTTCCTGGTGCTCCTCCGGGTCCTAGCGCCCGTCATGTATCAGCATGTTTTTGTTTTGTTTTTTCTTCTTCTGTTTTTTTTTTTATTGTAGTCTCCTGCAATCATACTTTATTACAAATAATAAATACAGTAATTTAATAAATGTGTTTTGTCTATTCAAAACTTTCAGCATGCAAGCTAATTTCAAATAATGGCATTGTTTTATTATGGGAGATTTCTCTATCTTGAGTAAATGTTTATATCAAATACATTTTAATATTTATGATCAGTTTAGTTTAACTAGTTTGCACACGCTTTTTCTGCAGCTTTATGTAACATTTGCTTCCTGAGAAAATAACCTGATGAAGTTAGATGAGACAGATAACATTGGACTTGGTCTATACATACCCAGCTTATGTTTAATTTTTGTTGCCATTTTGCATAATTTTACCAAAATTAGCTCAGGTGTTAATGTCAGAAGTATTTAGAATAAACATTTAAAGCGCTTCTTAATTTCTTCCTTATCAAAGCAAACCATAGTAAGTACAAAATCCTCAACACATTTTTTAAGTGAAAATGTATCTTTTTATTGGTACCATACATTAATTAAGGGCAAAAACTAACCAAATCAAAAAAATATATATATCAAACAATGATTTCTCTACAGGGTTCGGAGAAGGTACAAGTCACCATTCAAACGCAATCATAAATGTTGCCAGAATCAACTCCAACAAAATAAAAATGTACAAACCAATAAAATAACTTCAGCAGTTTTCTAGTAGACTTTACAGATTCGACACTGCAACCAAATATGCAGACTGAACACAATGTGAAGCTGCTGCGTGACTCTTATGGTAATGATCATATGATTAAAAAATATTATGACAAAACTTAACAAAAAATTAAACAACAGTGATGAAGCGTAAATGTTACAGAGTAACTTAAATTCATTGATCATTCACTTGACAAGATGAATATACAGAAAATTGTGATTTTGTGAAAAATTACTTCCTGTAAAATGTGAAAAATGTGAATTCCTGAAATTTCTAAAATAAATTAAAAAAAGAGAAGAAAATAGTAAAATCATATCTCTATGGTGTAATTGTACCCCCGGGGATTTTTTTTTAAAATTTAATTTACACAAGTTTTTAAAAAAAGAGGGAAAAACAGCAGGTGGGAGAGGGAAGAGGGGGCGGGTTCATGAGTGTTTTTTCTCCTTTTTCCTATTTTTGTTTCTTTACATTAGATCAGAATGGCTTTAGGTAAATCTAAGAATACATTTTATTACAGTCAGACAGAACTTTGCTACTACCTTAAATATACAAGCACAAATACACAAAAATTCTCAAAAAAAATAAAGAAAATAAAAGAAACAAAGACAAAATAAAAACATCCACACTAAATTATTATTCTTTTATAAACAGAAAAGATAAAAACAATATATTTTAGAGGGGGAAGGATAAAAGTCCTGCGTTGCTCCTTGGTCTGTAGCTTTTTAGTATTGGTAGAAAATAAAATTAAAAAAACAATTGAAATGAAGGCGTTTTAATACAAATTAAAAAACATTCTAGGGAAATATATATACTGTATAAAAACTCTTAAAATGTGTAACTGTATGTGTGCATGTCTGTGTGTGYTGCAAATGATTTCCATTTGAAAGACTGCATTCACTGTAGTCTAATCAAGAGATCGCTTGGGCACTAGGGCACTCAAAATCCTTCAATCGTAACGTTAGTTTTTGTGTATTTGTGTGTGTGTGTGCGTGTCTTTGCCCTAGCCCCACATAACAGCCTTCGTACTGGTGTGTTAATTTCAATGGTTTTACAGACTGACGCTAAATTCTGATCCGTCTGCTTCAGCAAAGCCACAGTTCGGCTCTCGCTTCTTCTCACACGCACTCGCATGCACACATATACTCTATGAACGGACATCAGGAGTGACTCGTGCCTCAGCAGAGCAGACCACAATCGAGAGCCATGTTTCCCACGGCGGGTGGACCGGTGGTCCCCGAGCAGCTCGCCGCCAGCTTGAAGCCCCCCTGCTGCCAACATCCCCTCCACCCCACCTGCTCCGTGTCGCCTCCCTTCGGTTAGGWTAGGTTAGTGTACTTAGTTCCGCTGTAGAATAAAATCCTGCTACTTTTTCAGTCATGTCAACCCAACTGCCATCCAAGGAAAAAAAAAAGCAACAGCAGATGGGTCATTTTGTGTACCAGTTGAAAAAACTGAAACAGTAATGGGAGGTTGTGCCTAAATGTTGGGAGCACTGGGGAAAGAAAAGCTCAGTTGGAGGCTGAACCGAGCTCCTTCTCGCTACCTGTGAGTGACTCTGAGTGCTACAGCAGTGTTTGGCTTGGAGAGCAGACTGTGGACTGATTGGGCTGCAGTCATGGCTATAGAGGTAGGGCGGGGGGAGCAGAGGGATGACAGAGAGGGGGGGTTGTGTAGAGGTTTCGGGGGCTCTGCGTTCTACTGTGATGCCTGTGAGGTGGGGTTGTCGCTCTTGCTCTCTTGGCTGGAGGGGGCCTTGTTGTTCCAGGGTGAGTTGGAGCCCAGAGCCGGAGAGTTGTTGAAGCTGTCCTCGTCGTCGATGCCGTTGGCCGCGTCGAACTGTGTGTTCTCCAGCCGCGTGATCAGGCGCTCGTCCTCGTCGCCGAACTCCCCGCCCATCAGAGTGGGCTCTCCCACCACCATCACATCCTGCAGGCACAACACGGTGGCAAACATTAGATCGCAATAGTTACTCTGCGCCTATGTTGTCGTTTTTCTCTCCAACAAGTTATTTATTTAATACTGCAATTGCATTTTTCAAAAAATCCTATCATTTCTTTTATTTCGGAAAAGCAAGAGCAACCATTTTTGAAATGTCAACTGGCAAGGTTTGTCCAATTATTACTTTTTAAATAGTATGTGATGTGCTTTTTATTTCTTCCCCTCATTAAAAGCAACAGTTCAACCATGACACAATGTTGCTCTTTATAAGTTTGTAGTGTAGTAGGTGTGTACTGCCACTAGGTGGCACTGTTGTACTCACTGGAACTTGGCTGGACAGAGGGAAGCCACTACCAGGGCTCTTCTTTTTGTTGTTGCTGGTATTGTTAGCACCTCCTCCTCCGCTGATGGTGCTGCCACCTGACGGCTTTCGCTTCCGCCTTTTGTTGGGGGCCTGTCTCGATGGCTCGGCTGCAGAGGAGGGACAGAGAAAACAGGACAAACTGTTCACCGATCGTTCGAGCGTCTGCGCTCGTCCGGCTCTCAGCAGGACGATCACCTACCAGGCGGTGCCACCATCCTCTGCCATTTCTGGAAGAGGCAGGTCTTGAGGCAGTCTCTGGGGCTGAGGCTGTATGTTTTGTGCCTGGACATCAGCTCCTGCATGGGCTCCAGAATAACACACAGCTGGAGGAGGGGACAGAGAAAAAATATGGGTTAGAAATTCAAAGTTAATGTGAGCATCTCTGTTTAACTAGCTAACACCAACAAAAGATAAAATAAACTATTCTAAACAACAGACATGCCAGAGATTGTTCTGTTTACATTTTCTGTTTCTCTTCCACTTGTACAAATCGCAAAACTAAAAACATTATGTACATCAAACTACATTRTAAAGTCAACATACAATTTATTATTACTTTATAGTTATTATCTTTTAGCTGCACAATATATAGTAAATATATATAAATCAATCTAAGCGGTGCTCCGAAAACATTCATTTCAGAAGATKAGATCTAATAGACCGAGATTAAAGTTTCAGTGTAGTGAAAACTCTGACAGTAACATCACTGAGACACAAAGAACAATTCTCTCAAAGCACCAGACTAAATTTACAGGGAAAAAAAACAAAACCGCTGAACATTTCCTACTGGACTTTGTGTTTAATATTTTACTTTCTGGGGTTTACAAAACTGAGGAGGTTTTTGGAAACGTCCAGCACCGTTTCAACCACTATAGTTGCTGTCAGTCGATAGTTATTCAGCACGTRTGAGTAGTTAAACTATGGCAACAATGGTGGATAGACCATTGCTGTTTGTGCTGCTCACTATTTTTATTATGTAGGATCAACCCAATCTTATCCTCAGTCCAAATGATCGTTCATGTGATCACCATCTGAACTCTGTTCAAGTTTGAGACTAAAGTGTCAGTGTGCACTCTTGAGTTATTGAAATATAAAAATCACAGCGTCAGTCTTTGACCCAGCATGGAAACTACAGCGGATTCAACAAGCACAGTAATACTGTAAACGTGTTGCTTTTTCCACAATCAACACAGGAAAATCTCTAATGTTTCCAGAGATCGTTAACATGTAAACAGGGCCTTTGAGGACTTTGTACCTCATTAGATGAACTGTCACTGATGCAAACAGTAAATACAGCCACACGTGTCGTGGCTCTCTGCCAGGGTTGTGGATGTGTTGAATACAACAAAGATGTGTGAAGGTTAAAAGTAGAGAAGTTTAATGATCTATGAGTAAATACCAGAAAGCTTTTGTTTCATAAGGCTAATAAAGCATCGTATGATCTTAACACAGGTCTGTGACAAAACCACACCAGTTCATTTTAATAAGAATGATGTTCCCATCTTACAGAGTAAGAAAATAAGCAAGAATTTACCATTGATCCCATYTTATTACAAACAAGACTAAGTTTGGCAAAATATCACCTGCAAACGTTGGCAGGTGTTTCTWATTAGGGGTGCACCGATAAATCGGCCAGACAATTTCCTTAYKTTTGGGAGATYGGCCGATCCTTGGATAAAATCGGTGGAGAAGAYCAGCTTTTCTACCYCCACARAGGTCTGAAAAATCAGCCACTATCCTCTTTTGCTCTGCTCTGAGCACTACCTAATATCCAGTTAAAACAAGTTTGTATTGTTTCAAGGGTATTGYTGAAAGTATTTCAGTAAAATAACATTTGAACATTAAAGTTGTATTGTGACTTTATAACATCTGACAATATCAACTATTTCAAAAAAACGTAATCAGCAGTTTAGACTTTTTAAAGGTCGGAGATCAGCAAGAAAGCTGGAATCGGTGCACCCCTAGTTTCTATTARTAGTTTTAACAGTCACCAGATAAACTGTAAATGAAAATGCTGCTGAAATACCTTTAATATGATATTGTACTGAGAAATGCCAAAACATAAGCTGATACATAATAGAGTGAAGGCTGATATGCAGTATAATATACAGTATAATCATAAACATGGAAATAAATATTTGRGGTTAGCTTAGAAAATTCTGAAGTAAAATCAAACCACAGCCAGAAAATGTTTTTTTTAACTCTAACTTTTGTAGTAAGCTAAGATCCTGTTATGTGGTCTAATGTCTCTTAACGTGCAAGAAAAGTTTGATGACAGTGGGGGGAAAAATTCCCGTTTAAAAATATTTTTATTTTATTTTGTATGCTTTTTTAAGTGTAAATACCAATTTTTACAAAATAATCAATCTCAACTACRTGTTAAAGCATTTTAGTCAGTCCTCCTAAACACTATGTGACATTGACAAAAACATCCAGTGATGCTCCACAYAGAAATAAGTTATGTGACAACAGTTTCTAAAGAAGAAAAAGTCAAAAACCCAACTAAACATTGTCCACAATTGGAAAAAAAAATCCACAAAAATCTATTTTGATCAATTTTGAGACRGGCAACAACAGTAAACACCACCTTTATCAGTCCCTAATGTGTTCATAATTATTAAGAACTGTTCTGTTTTGAGTTTGTTGCCTTTTGAGTGAGAAAGTCGACAACAGAAAAACAAATCTTTTTGAAATGTTGCATGTGAGCTCCACTTACTCGGAGGTAGTTGAGGGTGGAGTTTGACAGGCCACATCTTGTTATGTTTTTGGACAGCTGGTCCAGCATCTGTGGGTCTTGGGCCTGAAACATGAACAGAATTAATGTTTAAAAAAAACAAACAAACACACATTTGTATCTATGCAAAGGCCCGCTTCCTAAGTAGTGACTCACGTGCATGGCCAGTATACTGCGCGGGATGAGCTCACGGTGTTGTCTGATGCTGAAGTGCCACGTCTTTATCCGCATCATGTCGTCAAACATGAACTCCAAGTACAAACGTCCTTCTACACACACCTACGGAGGTTCAGAGGAATGAATCAGTACGCAGCCAGTAAATKATAAACTCTTTAAACAGGTGGCCAAAGTTAGTTACAGGTAGTGACCCTCATTTTCTTAAACTAATGTCAAGTCAAATATTCCTTTTTTTTTTAAATTTATTTAGTTATTATTTTTATATATACAAAAGACATCAACACACCTGTGTGAACATTGGCTTTCCATTTTGGGTGACCATGGTGCACTGATCACAGTCAAGGGAGACAAAATTGTTGTGAAAAGATTCCTTGGGATGTTTCAGCACATAGTAGAGCTCAGTGGCACCGCCCTCAAATATACTCCGGAAGTACCTCGGGATTAGCGTTCGGCCAATTGCTGAGGTGACAAAAAGAAACATAAAGTTACAATTTTGCCTCCTTCATCCCTGCCAGCAATCGTACGAGGTGATTAAACAAACCAGCACTAAAGAAATAGCTTGATTCAAATATGAATTTAACAATTTCAAAGGTTGGAACTGTACATCTTTCAGTTTTCAAGAATCCAAAAGTCTGCTTGATTTGATTGAACTTGTTAGGACATAATAAAGTGCTTTACTGTGTATGTTTTGGCAGGCGTCTTTAGTAAAGCATGAATAGAAAACATCAGGTCCAGCAGCAAGTAAAGGACAACGATGTGAAGTTCTATTCCTTACCATGAGTGGTAGAGACTCTTTAGTGAGATCAAACTAAGTTGACTTGTAACTAATGAGACTTGGTTCTTACTGTAACGTTTGGGTCCATCTTCCAGACAGAACGTAATGGTCAACATAGCATCGTCTTCGAAGAACTCTGTAGTAAATGCATCCCACCAGATGTTGTCACACTCCTGTGTTGACGAGAAGAAAACAACCAAAATTATGAACATTGGATTGTTTTTGTGTCCCGTTTACAGGACTGTATGCCTGTGCTTACTGACCTCCGTCCAACTCTGTAGCCGTTTGTTGAGCTCAAATATTCTGTAGTCTGTCTGGTTGCCATATGGCGTGTGCCTCCTGAATTTAAACATAAAAAAGGAGAAATTAATGGTTAAAAATGTCTAATTTCAAAAGTATAAACTTGCTATGGCATATGCAGCCTTACCCTATTCCTTGGTCCAGATATGAGGGTGGGTACATCGGAGTGGGACTAGAAAGCACACGAAACAGGCATTATTACTTTCAGCTTTAGTTGTCACTTCTCAGAAAGGTGKTGAGTCTTTACAACCCAGGACAAGTCAAACACAGTAAAGAATTAATCATAAAAGGAGAGTGTAACCAATATTTTGACATGAATGTTTAGCAGTTGCAGCTAATTCAACTAAAAAAAAGCTCTGAAGCAGAGAACACATTCGTTCAGAATATAACCTTCATTGTGCTCGTCAACATCAGCAAAACAAATTCTCCTCATTCAACCAGACAATCAGTTCCACTTTAGTGGAGCACAACAGATACTAGCTGGCGGTAAAATAACACTACAGTGCACTAAAACAGCTACTAAACTAAGTCTTTATCATAGATAAAAATTAGATTAACAGATAAACAGGAATGTCTAATATGTTAAAAGATTCTTTAGAACACATTTTTTTAATTTAGCACCATTTGCTGACAAATGTTACAGTAACCTATGAGTGTGGAGCTCTTTTTTATTAAAAACAGAGAAAATGTCTTCATCACTTCTATGACCCTATCTGGATTTCACTGCGCGTAATGGAGAGATTATTACTCTTCTAAAAAAAGAGAAAAAAAGTCACACTGGCATGAATTATTCACTCTAATAGGTCTTTTTAGTGAATAATAAAGCGGAAATTAGATATACAGTTTGTAAAACTTAATCAGCCTCATGATAAATTTGATTAATTCTGAATGAGTACAAGAAAATCCCTGACTGTTTACTTTAAATCCTAAATATAGCTCAGTTAAACACATTTTATAGGCTACACTTGTTTACTGAWTAGACAACCAGCTACATTACTAGTAAATGTTTCAAATTAACTTAGAAACCAAACACATTAGGTTTTTTTAACAAACATAACACAGACTATAATGCCRCAAACAGCAAAAAAAGATGCAATAAGTAAATAAGGACTCCAACTCACCCCACGTCTCTGTCCAGCATGGTGCCGGGGTGGAAAGGGGGGAAAGTGCTACCGTTGGGGGGCTCCTTGGGGGAGTACAGCTTGAAGGATTTGGAGGAACAGCCTGGAAGAAATAAGAACATGACTTGAGTATATGGCTACTCAAATGAAACTCTTCATGAGCAATGCATCGTACTTAAGARCATAGCCAAGTTACTGACAGCAAAGCTTTCAGTACACGTTGAATCCAGCTGGGGTGGTAATAAAAAGATAAATAGACATGAAAAATATAAAACAGAAAACTTGTACAAGTGACCAAAGAAGAAACAAAAAATGTGTCAGAGAAGTCAGTGCTTCCAGATCATATCAGAAACATAAATTGTGACATAAAGACTTCAGGACAGAGACAGCTGCCCCGTCTTCCCTCCAGAAAAAAGTAAGTAAATATCAAATACCAGCAGACCATATGGACGCTACAAGTATGCTCATAAAACCAGTGTCTCTCACTAAGAAACGGCTCCAATCACTATTTTACTCTAAATGCCCAACTCTGCAATAAGACCATCCAGGCATGGTGGCCTACAGGTCACGACCTCGCTGTCACCATGGTGAAGCCCTGCCTCCTCAATGTCCCTCTGTCTTGTTATTGCAAAAAAAAGGCAGAAAACAGCCATCAAGAGGTGCATTTTTGTTAGACAAAATTATTTCTGATTTACTTTAAAAGGTCACAGACACACACCAGGTTGGAGTTTTTAAACCTAATCACTTTGGTTTATTTCTACTTTTTAAAGTCGTATTTAAGCAGCAGCAACAGCCAGACTAAAACAAACAGAATTGCACACCAGCTCCAAGTTATCCCTGATGGTATTTCAGACACTACACAGCTTCTAATGAAACTTACAGACCAAAAGGTAAACAAACAAGAAGAATACAGACCTTTATAACAAGATTCTCATCTTTTCTGCAGAAAGAAATGCAGCGCAACACAGAACCATCCAAAGTCTTGTTTTCCTTTTGAGCAGCTGTTTAGATTGTAACACTATGCTATAGGCTGAATGCAGCACCCAGAAGATTGATAAATAAATAAATAATCAATGCTTATGTGTCCATTAGTTGTTGAGAGCTCCATTAGCTCCTCTCCTCCCCTGTTAGCGGTTAATGACAGTCAATCACAATCACATCAGTTGGATTCCACTTCCTCAGCTGGGAATTGTGTTCCTCTCTCCCTTACAAGCAAACAACACATTATATACATTTTGTACATGTTCATATCCTACTGGCTTGGGTAGCGGTCAAACTTTAGTACAAGACTTATGGCAAAAGTAGAATTATTGCCTAAAGCATTAAGGATTTCAAGCGCTCGGTCTTCAATTGACACACAACATTACAAGCTTATGTGTAAATAACTAAGCTACTCAGCTGTCAGACTGTCCAGTGCACCTTTACAACAATCTGGATTGTTTGATCATCAGACTCTAGGATGAACAATCAAGTGACCTGAGAGTCAGTGTCCTGCTGGCTTCCATACAAAATGTGTGCTTTTCCTGGACCAAATCAAAAAAGAGACAAAAATCTCCTCAGACACTTCACTGACAAGACATGGGCTTTTTCAGAGTACTACATAAAACACACAACACAGTGGTGTTCGTCCTCCCGCAGCTCATTCCTCTCATAAACAATTATCTACCCTGCATGTTTCTGCAAGTGCAACGTCACTCTTTTGTGTAAATAACACAAACTGCTTTATTCACACAAACAATTCATGTTGTATCTCTGGATTAGCCCGTGTAAATTTCTTGCCACTTCACACTTCACCTGAATATAATGCAGTTCTACACAAAAGCAACACTATAAATCAAATACAATCTGTTCTACTACACAAATAACTCACAACTTACTTTACTCTTCATTTATTTCATAATACTTCTGTTTTCTGTTGATATATCATGTTGTTGTAACACCATTTAAGTACTGGGGATTTCAGTAACTGAAATAACTTGATAATTATCGTGTTTATAATATTTGCCAACCAAGACTCCCACTATTATGGTTACCAGGATAAAGTATCCACAAATGTCACCAGCTAAACTAAACATAGCTTAAGAGCCTAAAGACATGCATATTACTTATTATGCATCACTTAGAAATCCAGTTTCTACACCTGCAAGGGTTGTTACAACTTTATTACCCAAAACATTTTCTCTGTAGCCGACCGGCTACAAAGGCAATTAGAAAGGCAGCTAACACACTTAGCTACAAGCTAGGCTAAAACTACAAGATTACGGAAAGCGGTTTACCTTTTTAAACAAAACGAACTATTAATCATTTCAAATAGCCAATACATTCATGTAAATATRTAATGAACTAAAAATAAAAGAAAAACATAAGAGATATAGCTACCGCTGTAGGCCTTTATCGCTAGAAAACCAGTTAGCTCTTAGCATTTACGCTAATGCCTTAGCGTTAAATTCCTTTCCAAAGAGAAACCCCAACAAAGAGACGGTAATTACAAACACCAATGCTCGCAAAACACGTCCAGTCGCTTTCTAAGCTGAACTTTACAGTCCAAAAGTTTGTGTTTGTGGGGGTGGGAGGAAAAAAACGCGACCCTTTTTTACCTGAAGAGAAGTCCAATCAGAAAATCGGTGTTTACAGATCCGTGATGATAGACCGTGTGTACGCTCCGTGCGTAAAAACGGATAGGCCCGCTGGACGCGACGTACCCACACACAATACGTCCTTTCCGACAGGATCGATAAAGAAAGCTCCTCGAACCGCGAGACTGCAGCGAAATAAGGGAGCCTAAATTTGCGGGAGTCGCTGGTTTATGTTTTGTCCCGCATGAGGCCTTGTTAGTGGGCTGAAGCCTGCTGTGGGTTTACATACGGACCCCGATGAGCCCTTTGTTCAAGGGAGGACATGAACAATAGCTGTAGGCCCTCCTCCTCCTCCTCCTTTCCGTCTGCATTTGCTCCTCTCTCCTCTGCCCAGCACAGCCAGCCGCCCTCTTCCTCTTCCCCCTCTCCTCCTCCTCCTCCTCCTCCTCTAATGCACAACTGCACATAAAGGTTGTCTGGTAAGCATTTTTCCCCCTTTACCTCCTCCCTGCATCCCATCTCATAACTGACACAGATGAGAATTGGCCTAATGCAGCCGACTGGAAATTTGCGTGGAAACAAAAATTAGGTTGACTGCAAAGTGGTTTCCATGTTTGCCTAATTAGTGCACATCAACTTGCTGCAAACAGCCGAACTGGGACAACATGGACCCAGGTCGTGTATTTAATACGCAGTGGGCTCATTCAGTGTGCAGCTGATACAGCAATCTGATCATTTAAAAGAAGATTAAGGCCCACTAAACTTCCACAGACGACATCAGACTGAGGCAGTTTGAAATTAATTGTGCTTTATAGCTTGTATACTGAAGCGCCTCTTAGGTGGACAAGCAAATGCGTTTACATTGGCTATCCTTCTGGCTTTCTTTTTTTCCTCTCTGGATGCACACAATATATACACACACACACACACACACACACACACACACACAACCACGCTAAGCCAAAAGGAGAATCCCACAGGCCTCTAAATCTGCTTAAATCGCCTCAAATTATAATCAGATATTCAGATCACAGCCAGCGACATCTCAGCCATATGGCCAAAGTTGAGATACAGTATAAAAAGAACAAGTATGGCTTGTGCTCTGCATGCAGAGTTTTCACATTTCTCTTTGTACTTTCTCTATAACATATTGCCTGAAAAACAAAACTAAAATCAGCTCACTTTTTAACTCTATTAAAATTATATTTGGCTAAATATTTGACACTGAGGGACATTCTAAAACTCTTCTTTGGATTTTAAAACATTTTAGTTCTGTTTTCTGTCGAGGTAACTCAACATTTCTTTAAAAATACTGAAGTCTAGACTCATATTTATGAATAATAGTAGATAAGTGAAGCTATAGTCGAACACTATTTTAATGATATTACACGGTGGATCAAAGTTTGGTGCAGCCAAGATATTGAAAATATTATGAACCAAAAGTTTTTTTGAATAACAAATTACATATATTTTTACTTCACAAGACTTGTTTTTGATTTTCAAAGCAATTCTTCGTTCCCCTTCCTAAAAATTACTTTCTAACAACCAATCGTCCCCTGGGACTCTTTCTGCTGAGGTTCTCATGCAACTGTACCATTAAAAAGAGAGACACCAGTCCTTGTGGGTCATGACCCAAGGACAGCAGGAGGGTCGAGGAGCAGTCTGGGTTTGCTGTGAATTGACAGGCATTTCAGCCAATCACATTCCAGCAGCTGACACACACAGATGTTGGTGTCCAGCTGTCTATGGCTGAGTATTTGTAAATGTAGAAAAATACTTTAAAGTTAAAAAGTATTTAAATAAAAAAAAACTCCATACAATGATGAGAATATCTTGTTTTTTAATGATGTAATGTAATTTATGTGTTTTGCTTTGGGTCAATTTCAAGCATCATTTCAGTATGTTGTTGTAATTTAGGAAAATGTTGATGTTTTACAGTACTGTGCAAAAGTTTTGAGCCAGCCGGGTATAAAAATGGGACAGAAAATGAGTGAAATAGCAGACCTAAAAATACTGTTTTAAAAAAATTACAAGATTTGGTGCTTGGAAGGTAAATGTAAAAAATGGACGATATAAAACTTTTGCAGAGAATGATACATTTATATTTTATGTAATTGCAGGACTTTACAAGTTACATTTTTGCATAGTGTGCTATTTTCAGAAAAAGTAAAAAAACAGGTAAACATTTAATACTAATTATCTAAAAGAGAAAAATAAATACAAATAAAATACTAAAGTTAATATAAAGAAGTAGATATGAGATGCCACAATATTTGAATTTCTTTGAGATAATCATGACAGAAATATTGTTTTGTTCTGTTTCATTTACTATTTTTCTACAAATAAATACATATTTTTGGGATATTTTCAGTCTAAGGTCTGCAAACCTCAAAGTTTTATATCTTTAATGATAAACAAGACAGAAACTGAAATGTGGTTCTCTCTTCAAACCCATGTGTGAAAACTGAAGAATATGATGCAGACATGCAGAGAGGATAATCTGCTCTTGGGCCGACCCGTGGCAGAG